AGAAACACACCCAAAATCAACCTCAAAATCAACTTTTTGGGTGTGTTTATAAATGGGTTTTGAGTGTGTGTAATGATGGGTTTTGGGTGTGTTTATATGTTTAAATAGTGCTTGAGTTTTTTTATAATTTCAACCTCCATTTTGGGTGTTTTAGTAAAACTCCCGATATGAGAAATAGAGAATCTTCTATCAGTGAGTTAATAAGGGAACTGCACCAAGAGGGCATGCACCTGCACCTTTTGCTGGTGAAGGATAAAAACCCGTGACAAATTATTCGTAAGATATGTTATAAAAATACACACTCCTCCTGATATGATTCAATTTTTCATGGTTTTCTCTTCTTTTGTCTGTCACGAGAATTGGCTATGATTTGATGGTCTTGTGACCTAATGTAAGAAAACACGGCGAAAAGAAACAACATCAAACCCCAGAAACGGTAGAGTTGAGAAAATTCTCAAAGTTTTATTGATAACTAAATGATAATGATTATGACATTCAAAAGTTGTTTATATATAGTGCGTGTTTAATGTTTTGAGGTTATTTGCAATGTTAAAATTGTGTTTTGAAGTCTAAATTCTCTGAAAAAAAATAGAACACAGTTTTAACATTGCAAATGACTTCAAAACACTAAACACGCACTATATAGAATCTTATTCATCTGGTTGTTCCCTTTTGAAATAATGTATTATGGAACCGGACACCTCCCAACTTCAAAAAATTCAAAATCTATTTTTCTTAGATGGACCATGGTTACATGAACTAATGCGCAAGGTGTCCTACCAATGGACCATGGTTGTGAATGGCATGTGAACCCTCATCAGTATCATAAAAACTTTTTGAGCATGTTCCGGGCCTTGTGTTGTAGCCAATTATCCTCAAAATCCCTCGAGTGGAGATATTTTTTCTAAGTCAACAAGACAATGGCATGAATTGGTGGATTAATTGAAGTGTCCTCAGCGCGAGAGAAAATTGACGCAGCACTTGTATTGAAAACACCTATTTTAGAGTTTATAGTTAAGGTTTTCAATGAAAAAATAATAATTATATGGAGATGTAAAATTGCGCGTAGTTTTCATCAATAAGCACAATATCAACATAGAAAATACTTATTTGTATAGGAAAAAACACTTGCATGTAGTCCCACATTGGAAGAGAGTAGTTTTCTTCCATAGTTTATAAGCACCAACACATTAGAATTACTAAATAGAGTATGGGCCTAGTGGAGGCACACTTGAGCTTCAACATGGTTTGAGCTTGGATTATATATATATTTGTGTAATAAATATATATATATAATTAATTGTCAAAAGATGGGCCTTGGGCCTTGGGGCTCTGTTGATTTAATTAATAATTTATTTTTATTAATTGAAAATTCGGGCTTTTCAGATAAAACCAAAATCTGAAATTCGAATTAATTAAAACAGTTAACATAACTGTTGGATGAAGAGGTGTCAGACCTCTATATAATGACAATACGATCAAACCAGAAACATACTTTTGAACTGCATCATCATTCTCACATTTTACACTTCCTGAGAGAATTCATACCACTGTTCGCCAGAAATCAAGCCACTGTGCTTAGGCTTAGATTTAAGATAGTTTAATCCTGGTGGACAGACTCCTATCGAACTACAAGCACAAGGGTAGAGGAGAAATACTGTCTAAAGGACACTGCAAATCTGCAGGACTCTATCTACAATTCAAGTCAGTATTCTACAATCTATATTATTGCTGTATTGATTCAATTATATCTATATAAAATATATTCGTTGGTTTTTATTATTCTGTTATTTTGGTTTTATATTGATTGTTCTCCAACAAATACAAGTAAAAGATTCAAATCTAAAGAGACAGAGTGGTAAAATGTTACATACAGAAGATTCCTATACCCAGAAATGAAAGACTTATGGTGGTGGGAAAAGGCAAATGCAGGAAATGTTACCCTTAGGGTGACATTAACCTACCATTAAGAGTATCTCCACCCAAAGGTTAAGTTTAGGGCAAGGGCAAGTAAGGGCTGCCACTATTCATGTGAATAGTGTCAACTTTGCTATTTGTGGTTCCACCCATGAGGGCTAAGTCTAAGGCAAATACTATTCATTTTACTTTATTTTCTATTTTTTTATACTTAAACTATTAATTTTGATAAGCTTTTTAGATTATATTTTCGGTTATCATGTGTCACTATTTATTATAAAATTTTCACTTAAAATTTAAGATAACATTTTTCGGATAAAATTTTTGAATAAAATTTTCGAATAAAATTTTCGGTTGCCACGTGTCCATATTTATTATAAAATTCACATCTCACTCATCATACAATTGAAATACCTATTCACTCATCATACAATTGAAATATTCTTGGTCCTTATAGTCCGACACAATGGAATACAAGGACAACTCCATCATTGGTGGAGGCGGTTCCACTAGATCACGACGTGGGGGAGTATTTTCCTTCAAAGGACGTAATAGTGCTATTATTTCTGACACGGAATGCACCACTAGAACCGACTGCGGGCATTGTTCACTTGAGAAGCCATGTGTAATTGTTTTCCTCTTTTTTGTTTTTCCTTGAATAATCGATTAAAAAAAAAAAAGGAAATTGGAAATGCAGGAAATATATATCTTTAAAAAATGACATTAAATTGAATAAAACGGCAAAAAAAATAATTTTACCTCGTCGCTAAGATTTTGACTTCTTCGAACGTTTGTCCATGACCCTCAGCTTCGATGGAAGAGGTCATTTGTATTTTTGCACAAATGGAATTTTGTAGTAGAAGATTTAGTGTGGAAAGTGAAAAATTTGCAATTAGATGAATTTGTATGAAGATTTGGTGTGAAAAGTGAATAATATTGGTAGGTATTTATAGAAAATTTTTCCAAAATTTTTTGAAGCTAAAAATTGGACAGCCGTTGGATTGGACAAGATTTTTTTTATCGAAGGCTTCAAGAGAAGCCATGTGGCTTATAACCGTTGGGCTATGTGGGCTAGTGGGTCAGCGCTGACGTCAGTGGCTAATTTTTAAATTTTTTTACTGTTGGCTCGTGTATTCCAAGCGCCAACAGCAAAAAAAATTTGAAAATTAGGCGTTGACGTCAGCAGCACGAGGGCAACAGCCCAGACAGGATTAGCCCGTGGGCTTGCCCAGGTTGGTGGGACCCAGGGCTTGCCCAGGCTGAATTGTTTGCGATGAAGGTCCAAACCTCACCTTGGGGGCCTTATTGCCCTGGCAGGCTTGCTGCTGTGGACATTCTCTAATCAGTGAGTATTTTGCATTTTTAAACATGGATTTGATGATAAAGCTACAAGCCTACAAATATATCAATTTTGTCATAATTGGATTGCTTACTATAATATCCTTTGGCCCCCAACCGCCCTCCATGACGCCATCCTTAACCTTTGCTTATGTTCTCTTTTTGTTAAAAAAAATATTACCTACACTACTTATAATAATAATTATTTTTTTGTCTCACACAAACCCCAAGCTCGCTTGTAATTTTTTTTTGTTTCGCACAAAGACAATTGTTTCAGAAATTTCAGAAATTAGTTTTTGTATTTGTAGATATAGATGCATTTGATGGTAAGACTCATTACGTACCCCTAATTATGTGTATCTTTTTATATTTATTAATGAAATACACTCATACCATTGAGTTTAGTATATAAGTTTTGCCCAGCCAACTTTCGAATCCTGGAACCGCTACTAAGTTTGTGTGTGTGAGAAATCCTCTCCTCCTATCGTTTCGACTACCACTTGTGCTAAAAAAAAGAAGAAAGAATTGGATATGAGGAGGCACTTCAACCAGAAGCAAGAAAAGAAAGGGTGGCATGTATACATGATTTAAAAGTGACAATTTTGTAAGAGCATCCACAATGGGAGGGTGTATATGGGAGTATATGTTAAATATACACCTCTTGTCACCGGAATCGTCTCCAATAGAGAGATGTAAAGGGATGTAAATATACATCACCATCATGGAGATGTAAAATAAAATGTACATTTACATATATTTTTACATCTTTTGCAGGCGGGACTCACTCGGGAAAAGAGAGGAAAAATTATACATCTTAGATTTACATCGTTTCCTATTGGAGCAAAAACTGTATTTACACCATCAGGATGTGTAAATGGAACGTATCAGTAATGGGTATGGAAAGAAAGGGAATGATTTTCATTCATGACTTCTCCTGCGTTTACTTGCAATCAGGAATGAAAAAATAAGTGGGGCCCATCTCAAAATCCGTAATCACATTCCCTCAAAACTAAGAATCAGATCAACTAGAGGGGAGTAGTCGATACGATTCTCATTCCTGTTTTCTCTTAATAACTTCCAAAAATACCCTTATCACTTTAACATAATTCTAAAATTAATTTGGATTCTGATTTATGCAAAGTAGTAAACAATAACAATGAGAATCAATTCCATTCCATTGCTAATTCCATATGTTTAGTAAACAGCTTAATGTAAATGATTCTTCCCATACCGATTCAGTAGTTCTCCGATTCCTAAATTCTTTGATTCCTTAGTTTCTCCATTACTGATACGTAAACATGTCCTAAAAGTGATTTTATACCCCCGAAAATACACCCTTCACTGTGAATGCTCTGAGCGTCTAAATGAAGATTTATGATCCGTGATAGCTGAAAGGGTTGCAAAAGTGGGTCCTACTCACGTCCTACCTGGTTTTTTAGACTACAAGTCAATGCAGCAGTCAACCCAAATACTTAAGGCCAACTGGTTCACACTAATCACAGCATTTAAAGTTGTTTAAAAGAAGACACTTCCATTGAACTCACCCACTTGATCCCTTTGGCCTTTAGCGGCACTTGTATTGTATATTTCTCCTAATCATTAAATCCAACATGAATCTCTTCCAAAATCTGAATCAAAACCAATCCAAACCCATCCTCAATTTTTCTTCTCTCAGATCTCTAGCCACTCCCACTTAATTCCCTTTGAACTCAAGCCTGATCAAAGAAAGAGCACTACAACCAGCCATGGCCAAAATGAGCAGTTCCAAAGCCAGTAATGGCAGCAGAAAAAACAGTGAACTGCTTCCATTTGCAGTCCATGTGGTTCGAGGAAGATGGTTCTCTGTGTTTGCCTCCTTTCTCATCATGGCTGGAGCTGGTGCTACTTACCTCTTTGGTGTCTACTCCAAGCAGATCAAGTCCTCTCTTGGCTATGACCAAACAACCCTCAACTTGTTAGGGTTCTTCAAAGACCTTGGTGCAAATGTTGGTGTCCTCTCAGGCCTTATTGGTGAAGTCACCCCAACCTGGTTTGTGCTCCTAATTGGCTCAGCCATGAATTTTGCAGGCTACTTCATGATTTGGCTGGCTGTGACTGCCAAAATTCCCAAGCCAAAAGTTTGGCACATGTGCCTTTACATTTGCATTGGGGCCAACTCTCAAAACTTTGCAAACACAGGAGCTCTTGTCACTTGTGTCAAGAATTTCCCAGCTAGCAGAGGTGTTATGCTTGGTCTGTTAAAGGGTTTTACTGGGCTTAGTGGAGCCATATTTACTCAAATTTACTTGGCTGTCTATGGAAACAATTCAAAATCCATGATTCTTCTCATTGCTTGGCTTCCTGCTGCTCTATCAGTAGTTTTTGTGTACACCATTAGACCCATGAAGCTTGTTAGGCAACCCAACGAGCTCAGAGTCTTTTACCATTTCCTCTATGTCTCAATTGCCCTTGCACTTTTCCTCATGGCTATGATTATAGTTCAAAAGCAAGTTTCTTTCTCCCAAGCTGCCTATGCTGGAAGTGTCACTGTGGTTTGTGTGTTCCTCTTTGTCCCTCTTGGCATTGCCATTAGAGAGGAGCTGCTTCTCTGGAACCTCAAGAAACAACCTGGTGATCCTCCAACTGAGTTGACCATTGAGAAAGTACCACAGACAATTGAAGCGAAAGAAGATGCATTGCCATCAAATTCCTCAAAAGAGCAAAAACAGGACACGAAGATATCTTGTTTTGCTGACATATTCAACAAGCCAGAAAGAGGAGAAGACTACACCATTTTACAAGCATTACTAAGTATTGATATGCTCATTTTGTTCATCGCGACGCTATGCGGACTCGGGTCAAGTTTGACAGCAGTAGACAATTTGGGGCAAATTGGTGAGTCTCTGGGATATCCAACCAAAACAATAAGCTCTTTTGTGTCATTAGTTAGTATATGGAACTACTTTGGGAGAGTCTTTTCTGGGTTTGTCTCTGAAAGCCTATTGGTAAAGTGGAAAGTCCCCAGACCCCTCATGATGACCCTTGTTCTTCTTCTATCCTGTGTTGGCCATCTCCTCATTGCCTTTCCAGCCCCTGGTTCAGTTTATGTGGCATCCGTGATCATTGGGTTTTCTTTCGGTGCCCAACTCCCGTTGCTTTTCGCGATCATTTCCGAAATCTTTGGCCTCAAGTACTACTCTACATTGTTCAATTGTGGACAACTAGCAAGTCCCCTTGGCTCCTATATACTGAATGTGAAGGTCACTGGAATGCTCTATGACAGAGAGGCATTGAAAGAGCTAGCAAAGAAAGGGATGGCTAGGTCTTCGGTGAAGGAGCTGATTTGCCTTGGGAGCCAATGCTATAGGTTGGCTTTCACAATTTTAGCTTCAATCACATTCTTTGGTGCTCTTGTTTCACTGGTTTTGGTGATCAGGACCCGAGAGTTCTACAAAGGTGATATATACAAGAAGTTCACAGAGGAAGCAGAAGATGCATAGATTTAATTTAATTTAATTTTATGGAAAGACTACGTATCAAATGTGAAGATCTGGAGTTTGATCTATTATGAACTCAGAATTGTGGGATCAGAGATTCTTCTATCAGTTAGTTCACAAAAGAACTGCACTAAAAACTTCTGGAACCTTTCCAGGTGAACAGAAAACCTATGACAAATTATTGTAATGATATATATATATATATATATATATATATATATATATATAAGTCAATGGCCCGATGTTTTTGGATTCATGTGGCTTTTCCCCTTTTTGCTTCTTCCTTTACAGATGCTCAATTTTGTCTGTCATGAGGTTTGGCTATGATTTATGGTTCATCCGTAGTTACTATTGTTGTTAAAGAAATTTAATTCACGGACTATATACAACACCATGTATTACAACAAACCTTGCCATCTGACTAACTATTAAGCAGGAAGGGAAGGCCAAGGAAGTTGTTCACCAGAATTTTTCGTCAGACCTACCGCGAGTGAAAAAACAGTTCCAAGTGGCGGTCCAAATAGAATCTTATGCAAAAATAGCTAAAACCCCTCTCGACAATGGAAATGGATTAGGCATTGAAGTGTCACTATTGAAAATGAACGTGCAACCGAGGTCAGTAGGATACTCTCCTTATATTTTCTGTACAGAGAACCATAATATCAATACTGAAAATACAAGGATCTTAACTCAAAGAGACGAGTGGCAAAAGGTGGATGCTAAGCTAGTACTACATAGATTCTACAATTGCATTTGTAAATGATTAGTGGGGGAATGCATGACCAAGGGTAGGGTATAAAAATGAACCTTTTAAGTCCTATAAGTATTACTCTTGGAAACTTTGATCCTTTCCTGCACTTGACTGCAGCAGAATCTGACCCAGAAATGAAAGATTTGGGGCCATATTACATTTTTATTCATGTAATTAGGCAGGAATCTCTTTAGTTTAAGAGGTTGCTCCCCTCTTATTGATAGAACTGGAGTTCACATTATATCTTGGGAAAACAGAATGCTCTGATATATGCTGGGAGGGAGGTTGCCTCTCATCAAGCATGTTCTTTGCAAGATCCAGGTGTTTTGGGCATTCATCCCACCTCATGCTTCCTAGGAAGGTTGAGATCTTTCCTTAACGTGACTTGGGTTTTTATGTAATAGCCCCCAAAATCTGAGGGAGGCCATGGCATTAAGAGCCTCCATTGCTGGAACAAAGCCTTAATGCTTCCTTTGAAAGTTCATAGAAATCCTATAAAATTCAACAATAGATCAACCTGAAATTGAATGAATTGTCCTTGTACAAAGCCTGACACTAGACTAGACTTCCCAGGTCCAGCATCCCCAAGAAGAACCTCAAGCACAGTAACAAACATCACTGAGATTTTTTCGAAAGGGAATTATGAAAGAAAATTAATAAGCAAAAACAAAAGAGAACTTTTCATCACATAATACTTAGTTACTTTTCTTCATGTGAAAAGCTATGATTCTTGTGTTAGAATTCTTAGTTTCAGCATTTCATGTTTTGGATATTTTGGGAGCAAAGAAGGAAAAAGCACAGAAAAGTTGAGAGAACGTTGCTTAGAAGAAAATGAATAAAGCTTCTGTATATTTCATATCAGTTCAAACTGTTTTGGGTATAATCGTTTAGGCAAAGAGAAGAAAAAGAGATATTCTTCCCTGTACCATATTTACAATAAGCTCAAGTTCTAGCATCCTATTAGATGCTTACACATGTCACTTAAACCTATGCTAGAGATTAAAACACTTGGACTGTGATCCAAGGGTGCACAATAAAGCTGAAGAAAAAATAAACAACTAAAAGAAATAAAGAAACAGAGCAGACACAATTCCTTTAGCTTCAAAGACTCGGCTGAAGGATTACACACCAACATTCCCTTCTAATCCTTTAGCCGACTTAACACCAAGTAATTCCCTTAAGTATGCAAACCTGTCCTTAGGCAAAGCTTTAGTCAGAATATCTGCAATTTGCTCCTCAGTTCTGCAGTAGACAAGTTCTATCTCCTTGGCTTGAATTGCTTCTCGAATGAAATGAAACTTTCTGTTAATGTGCCTTGACTTCTGGTGGAAAACAGGGTTCTTTGCCATAGCAATTGCTGATGTGTTATCACACATTATCTGTGTTCCTTCAATTTGTTCTTCTCCAAAATCTTCAAGTACAAATCTCAGCCACTTTGCTTGAGAAGTAGCCTCTGCAGCACTTATATATTCTGCCTCTGCTGTAGACAAAGCAACTGTATTTTGCTTAATTGAAGCCCACGAAAACACTCCCGATCCCATAGTAAAAACATACCCTGAGGTACTCCTCATGTCATCTTCACTTCCTGCCCAATCACTATCACAATAGCCAATAAGAGTAGTTTCTTTTCCTTTCTCAAATACAATTCCAAAGTCTATTGTTCCTTGAATGTATCTCAATACCCTTTTAGCAGTTCCCATGTGTTTCTTGGTGGGATTGTGCATGAATCTTGCCAAGAGGCTAGCTGCAAACATTATGTCAGGCCTAGTTGCAGTCAAGTAGAGCAAACTGCCCACAATTTGTCTATATTCTCCTTCATCTGCAGCCTCACTTCCATCATTCTTACTTAACTTCTCATTCATTGCAAGTGGTGTAGCCACTATTTTGCAATCTTTCAAACCAAATTTTTCAACCAGCTTCTGTCCATACTTCTTCTGATGCAAGAAAATCCTTTGTTTAGACTGTATCACCCCCATTCCAAGAAAATGGTGTAATACTCCCAAATCTGTCATCTCATAGTGTTCCATCATATCTCTCCTAAATTCTTCAATCATTTGAGAGCTGCTACCCGTGTATACTATGTCATCAACATATAGAGAAACAATAAGAACATCTGAACCTTCTGCCTTAACATATAAAGTTGCCTCACTTGGACTTTTCTTGAAATCAGCCTTGTTGAAATAGGCATCAATCTCGTCATACCAAGCTCTTGGTGCTTGCTTCAAACCATACAAAGCTTTGTGTAACTTGTATACCTTTGTTTCCTCATCCTTCTTTACAAATCCTTGTGGTTGCTCCACATATACTTCCTCTTTTAAAACTCCATTAAGAAATGCAGATTTCACATCTAGTTGATACAAGCTCCATTCCTTATGTGCAGCAAGAGCAATCAAAGTCCTAATGGTGTCTAGCCTTGCCACAGGGGCAAAAGTCTCATTGTAATCAATACCGGGCTTTTGTGAGTAGCCTTTAGCCACTAAACGAGCCTTGTTTTTCTGCACAGTACCATCTAGGTTCAGTTTAGTCTTGTAGACCCACTTAACACCAATCACGGGTTTAGCAAATGGTCTCTCGACAAGTTCCCAAGTGTCATTTTTTTCTATCATTTCCAGTTCAGCTTCCATTGCCTTTCTCCATGACTCATCTTGAGCTGCATCTTCATAATTTTCAGGTTCCACAATACACACATTACACTTAGCCATGATTTCACTTACACTTCTCCATTTCTTTGGTGTGTGATCAAAGAAATGAGAACTTTCACCTATGCCTTCATCTTGCAGAGTGGTATCTTCAACTATTTGAGTTTGTGTATCCAAGCTTTGACTTGGTTCAGCTTGTAATGTGACTTCTTCATTCATTTGCAGTGATGTATCCAAGCTTTGACTTGGTTCACAGCTTTGATTCTCAGTAGGCAAAGGGACTACCATCTCTTCTTCATTTGTATTTTCCCACTTCCATAAGCCATTTTCATCAAATTGCACATCTCTGGACAGAATTATCTTCCTAGTACTTGGATCAAACAGCCTATATCCCTTTTCACAGAGACCATAGCCTACAAAAATACACTTGTGACTGTTTTCTTCAAGCTTATGCCTCAATGCTGAAGGAATAAGCACATGACAAGGAGATCCAAATATTTTTAAATGTGCAATTCCTGGTTTTCTGCCAGTATAAGCTTCAAATGGTGTTATCTTGTTAAGAGCCTTGGTAGGACATCTATTCAGCAAATAGACTGCTGTATTTACAGCTTCTGCCCAAAACTCATAGGGAACACCTTTCTCATGCAACATGGACTTGGCCATTTCCACTACTGTCCTGTTCTTCCTCTCGGCCACTCCATTTTGCTGTGGAGAATATGCCATAGTTAGCTGCCTTTGAATACCAGATTCCTCACAAAACTTGTTGAATTCTCCAGATAGAAACTCTCCACCCCTGTCACTTCTCAAACCTTTTATCTTATACCCACTTTGCAGCTCAGTCATAGCTTTGAATTTTCTAAAACATTCCAATGCACTTGACTTATTTCTGATGAAGTACACCCATGACATTCTAGTAAAATCATCTGTAAACAGTAGAAAGTACCTGTTTCCAGATAATGATTCTGTTTTCATTGGTCCACAGATGTCTGTGTGAACCAATTCCAAAGGGTTTGAAGCTCTCCAAGTGGATTCCAAAGGGAAAGAATCCCTATGCTGTTTTCCAAGCATACAACCATCACATACAACTGACTTCTGCTCCAAGTGAGGTAAGCCATGAACCATCCCTTGATTCTCAAGCAATTTTATACTTCTTTCATTTAAATGCCCCAGCCTCTTATGCCATGTCTGCAAGCAATGTGTGACACTTGCTTTTAGAACCAACTCACTCGCAGGCATCATTGTCAATGGAAAGCATCTGTTATTTGTCATCTGCACCTTCACAATCAGATTTTCTAGTGACTGATTGTCATAAACACTCACCACATTTCCTCCAAACACAAGGTGATAGCCATGTTCCATCATTTGCCCAACACTAAGCAGATTTTCTTCAAGGCCAGGTACAAGCATTACTTCATGAATGTGCTTCTTGCCTAACTTAGTTTTTATCACCAAAATCCCTTTTCCAGCAACTGGAACCACTTCTCCAGTTCCCATCTTCACCTTAGAGCTCAAATTCCTTTGAATATTGACCAAAAGTCCCTCATCTCCTGTCATGTGGTTACTACAACCACTGTCAATATACCAAGAGTGATTTACCTTCACATCAGTTGCAG